CTGCAAGGCACTCTTTTCGGAACGAAAAATGGAATATCTTCGTCTAGGGTGATCGTTGGGCCGTAAAAGCTTCTGATTTGTGCTAGTCTCAGCGCAAGCAACAAAACTGCTATTCCAGTTCCAAACCCCATGTTAAAAGTGAACTATTTCCTTTAAGAACGGCGGCGAGTTTGGGCACTGGTGCCTTGTTGTCATGCTCTGCTGAATATCAATGTGCGGCCATAACTGGGGAATTCCGGCACACATCAGAAGACCTTTTGTAAGATACAAGCCATTGTGTTGTTGCTATCGAAGCCCCGTTAAAAATGCCTCATTAAATCGTTTTTCCGTGTAATCTCAATGAATTCTCGAAGGAAGGAGGCCACAGAGGAACATGACGTAAAGTTTCCTGACTTCACGCCTCATGCCAGTGTCGCACGGAGTCAGTATATGCCAGTGATGGCCAGCCCATTTTTGTTGTGTCAGCGGTTTTCTGCAGTGTCCATGAACATTGTTATTCCGCCATTATAGCACCATCGGTGAGCCTAGCGTCGCTTTTTTACCCAGGACACCAGGAAACCGTGACTTTTGTCGCTATCGCCACTAGCCTCTGTCGACCTCATCGGACATCAGACGCGACGCCGCCGGCGGCAGCAGTGACGTCACACAAACGTCACTGCCGAGCGGCCACTCGGCGAGCCGGCTTCGGCCACTCCAGCCGGGCAGTATGGCCGGGCCGCGGCACCGAGTGGCGCAATGCACCCTACTGATCTACCTGAACTTCTGCTGCTCTTTGGCTCCCCATTTCCTGATTTCACCGGTTCCAAACAGAAATTATATCTTTTCTTCGTTTTATGTAAACAGACACTTAGTGTAAATACCGTCCTTAATAGTAGGTATACCCGGCCAGCATTCCCATTTTCTCCAGCCATCACTCTCATATATGTATGTACATGCCTTCGCGCACATGACATCATCCCCTTCATTTTTTTCATGTCACTTGAACAGAAGGCACACATGATGTCATGACAAAAAGTCGACAGTGAGGTGTGCATTCAGGGAAAGGGTCTTACGAGTCACCGCCATTTTACACATGCTTTCGCGCTGTCACGTGGATTCTAATCCTAGTCGTGCTCACTTCTTCAGTCACCCGTGCTGATAAGTTCCGGGCGCACTTAAATAGCATTGAGGTGCTCGCTTTTCCACGAACCGCAACCAGTGGCGGATTTCACGTGCAGGACTGGCTCACAAAGGAAAACATCGGCGCGCCGGGCCGGACCTTCCCGGTAGGACGCGCGGCGTGCCCTGCTTGTTCAGTGTACACACATACGGCTGCCGCCGGTCCCCGGCCTAAATACAACACCAACCCACACCACCGCCGGTCCCCGGCATAAACACACCACCACCCTACACCACCGCCGGTCCCCGGCCTAAATACAACACCACCCTACACCACCGCCGGTCCCCGGCCTAAATATACTACCACCCTACACCACCGCCGGTCCCCGGCCTAACTAAATACAACACCACCCTACACCACCGCCGGTCCCCGGCATAAACACACCACCACCCTACACCACCGCCGGTCCCCGGCATAAACACACCACCACCCTACACCACCGCCGGTCCTCGGCCTAACTAAATACAACACCACCCTACACCAGTGCCGGTCCCTGGCCTAAATACACCACCACCCTACACCACCGCCGGTCCCCGGCCTAAATATACTACCACCCTACACCACCACCGGTCCCCGGCCTAAATACACCACCTGAATACCCCCACATCTGACATCACCGTGCCGACCACCCTACTTCATCACAATCTCTTACCTCGTATAATATTAATTGTATTAATACATAAATACACAAATTATTACATCAATTCATCAAATTTTATCATAATTTAAATGTGAGGCGTGTATTCGGCCTAAAAATAGTAAAGCCAGTCCTATATCAGCCCGCCTGGCGGCTGTTTCCGTCAGAGGTCAGACGGACGGACCGGGTCGCGCGGCCGATTTCGTCTGTGCTGGCGCCATCCCCAGTCGGCTCTATAAGCGTCTGCTGCCCTGTTGCCGATGAGCTGACAGGCGGGTGGCAGTTGCACAGGTGCCACTGACCGCGGCCCAGCGCGGCGCCCTCTGAGAGGCAGCCTCTGCTCGGCGCGCTTACCGCCCGTGCCGGGCCGGACCGATTGGCTGTGCCGGGCCGGGCCGGGCCGATTGGCTGTGCCGGGCCGGGCCAATCGGCTGTGCCGGGCCGGGCCAATCGGCTGTGCCGGGCCGGGCCGATCGGCTGTGCCGGGCCGGGCCGGGCCGGGCCGGGCCGGACGATTGGCTAGTGGCCGGCCTTCACCAATCAACTCTGGTCTGGGCCCTGTTTCACGGCACGCTGCTAGAGGCAACTAGAGGCTACGTGTGCTTTCGGTTTCCAATGCCATGGAAACAACTTCTTTTTGCGCCTCCTTGTTTGTTGACGTTTTGATTGAAACGGAAAGCGCTGCAAGTACATAGTAGGGTGTCGCGAAACGGGGCGCAGCTGGTTTTCCCTGACGCTGTGGTCATCCCCGTCTCATGAGCTGAATTGACACAAGGCGTGCGGCCGTAATAAGGCGTGGAGGCCGCCGTACTTACAAGGGCCATCCTTCCATCCCACAGTGAAACTGCAGGTGACGGCGGTATCCCTGAGCACTCTGTGCGATAGTGGGACCCATCTGCGGTATTGACGCCATATGGCACTTATGATTACCTTGACTCTTCCATGCTAAAGAAGGATTGTCATGCTCCTTAAGAATGTCGGAAATGCTCCTTAAGAATGTCGGAAGAGAAATGAGAGAGAGAGAGAGAGAGAGAGAGAGAGAGAGAGAGAGAGAGAGAGAGAGAGAGAGAGAGAGAGAGAAAGAGAGAGAGAGAGAGCGAGAGAGAGAGAGAGAGAGAGAGAGAGAGAGAGCGAGAGCAAGAACGAGAGCGAGAGCGAGAGCGAGAGCGAGAGAGAGAGAGAGAGAGAGAGAGAGAGAGAGAGAGAGAGAGAGAGAGAGAGAGAGAGAGAGAGAGAGAGAGAGAGAGAGAGATGATACATATCGACCAGTTGTGTTCTTGTTGTTTTTTTGTTTTTTTTTTTTATTCAGCCCTCCCTCCAACAGGCTCTTGTATTGTCCCAATTATAGGAGGGCTCCATCTCCTCCCGGCCACTGTACCCCCACCCCCCAGGCTACGGCTGAAGTGGGAGCCTACCCCACACCTGGTGACACAGCCGGGAACGAAGCCCGCGGAACGGGCGGAACCGGGAATCGAACCCGAATCCGGCACCGCCCGCACCACGGGTCGACGCCTTAACCGACTGCGCCACCAGGGCCGCTGATTTCTTAGGGAGGGCTCCAAAAAATTCAAAATTGCATTATTCCACATTTAGTAAATGACTACATTTTTCGGGGTAACACCGCCCATTGGTTAAGTGTTAACACCGCCCGAGCTCAGCAGGCAACGAAATTTGCAGGTTGCTGAACGAGTCGAGCGTTTAGAAGAAACTAATAAGTTGTTCTTCTAATCGTAAACCTCGAGGCGTTTTACCATATTCATAAAATGCAGTGGGAACAATTTTGTTATATCCCTGGAACTTACAATGTCGTACTCATTTTTACAAACTAGACGATTTTAAGTCCCAAAATTTCAGTTTCTCGAAATTTCTCATTATCCTCTAAAAAGAAAACATGGCAAAAACGTTCTTTCCTTAAATGAAATGCGTCACTCCTGGTTCAGGTATCTCAATGTGCTATTAAATACCAAATTGCCAAAGTGGGCGGTGTTACCCAAGGGTCTGTGTCACTCTGTAATTTTCTTTTTAAAAAACTTCAATATGGCAGCACGACAAAAATGGCGCTCTAGCAGAAGCACGAAATATTTGGATGAGTCCTAATAAGTATTGCAAGAAAAAACTTATTGGACTACTGGCTGTCAAATAAGACCAGTTTTCTTCTGCTAATTATGCTACAAATAGTTTAAAACGTATTCACTAAACGTAAAACTCGGAATTTCTCGCAATCACCTAAACCAATGCGGTGCACTGCCCATACCTGAACTTCTGTTGACGTCACGCTGCCAAAAGACAGTCAGTTGTCGCCCTAGACCTTTTCATATTTCTGATATCGGTGTGGGCGGTGTTCCCCAAAAGGCGGTGTTCCCCCGTCTTCCCCTATTTATATCGCTCCGAAAACATGCAGAAAGACAATCATTGAAAGTCATGTAATCGAAAGAAGAACGAAAAGCGCAAGAAGCCGTGATCATGATGCCATGGATGGCGGGTTTTCGTCAAGCGTTCCGTGGTGTGGCGCCGCTCCCCTCCCGTTCTTCCCTGGTTTGCGGGGCCGCTTTCCTTCCCCTGAGCCGCGCCAGAACAGTGTCCACTCACGCGGTGACCGATAATCGCGCCCAGTCCGTCGTCTCCGGTAAATGTGCGGAGGAATCTCGGTGCGCGGGCCGCCATTCCGACCGCCGCGCCGGTGGTGACGCATGGAAGTCGTGATGACCGGCTGGTCAGCTGGCACTATCCGCCAACTACTACCCTACCGAGACGGCCTCTGATTTTTATCATACTAACAGGGACTCGGCTAATCAGTGTCTCATCAAATTCCGTAATGTTATCATATCTTTTCTGAGAGCCTCAGACGTTCAGTTTCGTGGATTTCCACCCTCGTCCCGGGCGGAAATTCTAACGTCGACCTCATTAAATCAGAACTCATATGTTGACCCTGCTCAGCATGATATAGCTCAACTTTCCGGGAAAGTGGTCCGGCCCTACCTTCACAGCCAGCTGATCCAGCCAGCGGGCTAAACTGTCCGCTCACTCTGTGCCAGCTCGGATCCCTGGAAGAGGTGACAGAAATGCCGCCAGGGCCCTGCCACCTTACCGAGGCCGGCTGTAACTGACCCGCGGACGGCGCGGCTGTGCCGGTAACTGACCCGCGGACGGCGCGGCTGTGCCGGTAACTGACCTGTGGATGAGGCGGCTGTGCCGGTAACTGACCTGTGGATGACTCGGCTGTACTGGTGGCTCCAGTCGGGCCGGCACGTCTCGTCGCCCGGAGAGATGTGTCCCAGGATGTGAACCCGCTCGCCGGCGGCCTCTGCCTCTGCCAGCTGGGCGACCAGCCAGCGCAGCTGACCGCCTGGGTCGCGCGCCTCCAGCAGCGTCCAGAAGTTGAGCGTGTAACAGTAGTTGGTGTTGAGCACCAGTATCCGGAAACCATCGGCGGCCGCCTGCAGGTAACAGCGGGGAGGTGAGCCGGGCCCGGGAACTGGGAAGTGGTAGGCGGTAGCAGAACAAAAACGCCATTGCTGTCAAGACACATCGACTGATATGTTTTTAAAGGAAAGAGCCGAAAGAGGGCAGGGTCAAAGTTGACATTAAGTGGCATCAGATAACGTAGGATAAACTTAGCAAATAACATTTCATATGCAGTGCATTGATATGCGTTTATCTACAATCTGGCATCCATAGTGCTCCATGCAATAGCTGAGGCTCAAAACCAGGGATAGCCAGTAACAGTTGGTAGCATTAGGCCAAATGGGCGCTAAAAAACTACTACCCCATTGGGTTTCCATGTTAAATCGACCTTTTTCAAGCGAGCCTCACACGTAAGCTAAAAGATAAGGTGCCAATATTATTGTGAGGAAAGGTAGCTTCAAGCTTCCTCTACAACCTTTTTATCTAGCGTTTTTCGATGCGGAGCCCATAACAGGTCCAAAAAGCATTGGGCGCTGCCCGAGGTATCAAAAGCCCCTCCAGAGAGCACAAGTTCCTGCGCATACATTGCGCATATTGCCTCAAACCTGTACTGGCTTAAACTAGTGATACTGCTCACGGACTCGAACAGCCAATCAGCGTCCCCAATTACATTAATAGATGTCGCTAGCATCACGTAAATCCGGCTTGCGAACACATTTCAAGAATGAAACAGCTGCGCCATTTCTGCCTTCCATTGATTCCTTCCATCTTAGTATCAACTATACGCTTTTCAACTAACTTTAGACGCTTTAGATTAAGTTTTAAACTATGGGTAGTATGTTATTTCTGGTATGTACATATAATTTAAAAATAACTGCTTTATGAATTTGGCTTTACTCGTCAGAATAGAAATCTCTATTTTTTCCATATTAAAAAAATGTATCACCTACTTTGTACCCAATCCAGGTAAAATGGGCGCTTTCCGCGTCGTTGGTGTACCCGTTATTCTATATACCCTGATCATAGGCGGTCCCAGGGGGGGGGCACGGGGGCCATGGCCCCCCCTTTCGTGCTGAAAGGTGGGGCCATACTATCTTTTGGCCCCACCTTTCAGATCGAACAAAAGTCCTAGAAAAGCTTTTCGTATGTTTCATTTTCTTTCTTACGCCATCAAAGGACGTAAATTTCACTCATGAGTGGGCTCAGTTTCGCATTCTGTCAATTTGGCGGTCAGCGTCGCTGGCACCGGTTCACGAGTATGGCCGGATCTTATATGGAATATCAGCGTGGGTTTAATTGAGGCTCTCGTGGGCCCAGCAATGTCTGGCATGAGACCCTCTTCGGCAGTGGCGGGTGGGCCCTGCTAAAGGAGATTGGCTCTAAGACACTAAAGTAAGACCTCATGGGTTGGTGCTGTGCACCTTAGAAGTCCGGTGGTGACGCCGTATGCCGGCTTGGTTTCGTGGGATTGGCGTGGGACCTCCGGGGCCTGCATAGAGTTTGCGTGAGGTAGTATGTAATCTCAGAGACATGTGTGTAATGTGTGCACAGTGGCGGCCGCGGGGGGGGGGCATCAGGGCCATGCCCCCCCTAAAGGTCAATAAAGGGGGCCATCATATCATTTGCCCCCCCCCCCCCTCAAACAACCAATGGGCCCCCATATAGGTGTATGGGGCCCTGGCAATTATTCGATCGTCACGAGGCTCAAAAAACCCAAGCCCAGCTATGAATATAGCTCCCACACCGGTCTTTAAGCGTCTTACACTGACCTCTGAGGGAACTTCAGTGGCGGTCAAGCGCCCACGTTGACCGCTAAGAGCCTACATCAACCTCTGAGGCTCCACATCTGGCCTATGAGGGCCCCTAACCGGCCTCAGGGGCCCCAACCGGCGTCTGAGGGTCTCACACCGGTCTCAGGTGGCCTTATTTCTGTCTCTGGTGTCCCAAGACGAACCTTTAGGTGCCAATGAGGGCCCCGCACTGGCTGCTGAAGACCCGATGCCGGCCTCTAAGGGCCTGCATTGGCCTCTGAGGAGGGCCCATCTTGGCCTTTGAGGGCCCTCTGCTGGCCTCTAGGGTCCAACGACGGCTCATGTCGGTCTTTTAGGGCACCACGCTGACCTCTGAGGGCCCATGTTGGCCTGTAATGAGTAAGGACCCACATTAGCCTCTGAGAGCCCAACTCGGTCTCTGATGGTCTCAAACTACTGGCCTTTGTAGTTTGCAGGCCCTGTACTGGTCTCTGAGGGCCCTAAACTGGCCTCTACGTGAAAACATACATGGGTGGGTTTCTGAAGATCAGAGGGCTCACGCAGTCCCCGGCACAGCCTTACGTTGGTCCTGATCGAGATTACTTTACGTCCTGATGGTCCCGCGCAGATTCCCTCATATTTCGACGTCGGGACCCCATGAGCCGGTGTGGGTCCTGGGACTGGCAGAGACTGATGAAGTCCTTAGGGCTCAGGGCCAGTCTTTTAAGCAGTAGGACTAGGCAGGTTGAGTGAGCCCCAATAGAGCCGTTGCGAAGCCCCGCAGGAGTCGCGCGCGGCCCTCAGATGCCAATTTTGAAAGCTCGGAACCTGTGGGGGTCTCCAGAGCCCAGAGGTCGGTGTACCTACTCTCTCCCGCAGCCACACAACTAGGTACAGCCCTCTGCAAACTTCGTGGTAGGTATTCTTTTTTCGACAAAACCGAGAATAACGCGGAAACTATGCTATCGGTCACTCGGAAATCGTAACAGCAAGACGCGGAAGACTCCGCACCTTGGATTGGCATTACCATCGTGCTCATTTCCCATCCAGTTTGACAACAAAACCCAAAAGTTTATATTTGCCCCCATAACAAACTTTTGCATTTTGTTGCCACACAAGGAACTTTTGTTGCCAACTTTGTTTAGTGATAGACCCAATCGAAGCAGTGGAGCATGGCGCCTCTACTTGCAGTGAGTTCCGACCGACTGATAACATAATGTTTGAGTTATTACCGGTTTTGTCGAAAAAAGAATACCTACCACGCAGTCTGCTGAGGGCTGTACGTACCTATATGGGTAAATGTCATAGTCTGAAAATGCTCTCTGGGTTTCACATGCTTGTTCAAAGCAAGAGGTATCTGCACTTTTCCGAATTGTTTTATAGTGGTAAGGTCATGAATCCGCGTGCCTGACCTTCCAGTATACCTATGCTACACCGATCCGTCGTCATTTTGCAGTGGCCCGACCGGTGGAAGCACCGTGGGACGGGAAATGGAACTGGTGATTTTGCCTTAACCCGCGCCGTGCTGGGGGGGGGCGTTTTTACGCCCCCCCCTCAGGTTTTTCGCGAATATCTCAAAAACGGCGGCGCGCAGCGCCGCCGTTTTTGGTACACGTGTTCCTACATCATTTCCGCACATGTTGTGAAAATTTCAGACCTAGGTCGTTCAAGGTCAGGTCACCAGGTCACGTCAAGTGACCTTACCTCAGAAAAAGTTCAAAGGCTCGCTATAGCTACACCGACTGAACGATCACTTTGAAACTTTCAGCGATTGATATGAGTAACAGTATGTATAAAATGTATATCTCGGATTTTTGATATCTGTGACCTAAGGTCAGGTCAATTTTGCGACCTCTCCATTATAAGTCAATGGGAGAAAATTGAAATGCGCCTCTTTTGGACGAATATCGTTCAAAACGCTCTCAAACATCGGTTCATAGGTAAACATGACACACTGAATAGGAAAAATGCACCTGTGACCCCTCTGTGTGCCCCTGAGGTCATCTCAGGTCATGAACGGTCGCCAGCAGTTTTTTGGCTATAACTTTTGATAGAGACGTGCTAGAGCGGTGAAAACACGTCAGATGTGTTCAGCTCGACGATACGGATCGACTGATATGCAACATGACCCTTTTCGGTCAGGTCATGACCTTGACCTGAGGTCAAATTTTCAAAATGACCTTTCAAGGTCAACAAATAGTTCATTCGACGCGTCTCGACGAGAGGAACACGATGCTGGCAAAAGTAATGTCATGGCGCTTATGAGTCAAAAGTTATTGACGAAAAAACGTTTTTCGTAAAAACGGCTATTTTTGGAGTTTTTGCCCTCTGGAGGCTAAACCGTTGACCTGAGGTCAAATCTGAGAACATTACTCAGAAAGGTCTGTAAAAGGGCTATCGAATGCGCTTTTCCGCGGCGCTGTAGCTCTATCGGTTCCCGAGATAGCCGTTGGCAGTTTCCAAAATGTTGAAATAGTCAACATTTTACCTTTGGTGACCTCTGGTGACCTGACCTTTGACCTGACCCAAAAAATGACCGAAGTGTTTTCGTCCTTATTTTTGACGCTCTTTCGATTGCCGCTTACCGCGTGTCGCTACGTGGCCCAGGAGCCGAGTTAGACGGGGGGGCGTGAAAACGCCCCCCCCAGCACTCGGCGGAAAGTTCAGGCCACCAGCACGGCGCGGGTTAAATTGAGCTTAAATATTTCACGTAAGAATGAGATGGACGAAGCATAAGTAATGGAAACTGCGCGGCGCCTCGTGGACGTAAAAAAATTAGCCGATCACCCCCCCCCCCCCTCCTGGTGACGGATAAATGTTATGTCCCGCGAGTGTGACTTTGGCCCCCCCCCCCTTTTGCTAGCGGCTGCGACCGCCAGTGACCCTGATCAATATAGGGCTGTTCAATTTACATAACAGTGCAAACCGTAAAAGCCGCGATATAATCTTTAACCATGAAAGACCTTGCACGACCTGATCTGACCTTGACCTTACATGGCTTCTACAATTTTAATAAGCAACTGTTGTCTTGTTTCTAATTCGGAAACATACGCTAGAAGGCAGTAGGTATTGTAATACAACACTCGCCCGCCCAGGGAGGAGGGCGGTCAATGCACCCCCCCCCCCTATTTTTTTTTTGTAGATAGCGTACAAACAGCAGCGCGTGGTGCCACCAAATTCCGCCCTATTCTATGGCCACTCTTGGCACATGTGGTGCCACCAAATTCCGCCCTATTCTATGGCCACTCTTGGCACATTCTCTGGAAAATTCAAGTCCCATT